TCCTGCTTTTCCGATTAGCAGCCATTTGGTTGGAGCTACCTCTAATTATTTTCAGTAAGATTTGATTTAAAATGTACTTTTGCTTTAAATATCCTTCTCCTAACAGCTTTCTTTTGGGGCAAAAGCATAGTGTGTGGCCTCATCTGCCCCTCAAAGCAGCCACTCTCAACCTTCACGCCTAGAGCAAAAGGCTGAACACCAAATCTGTGACACGTGGATGATTGCATGGCATGCTATGGAAAAACTCAGGTCTGCTTGGGTGACTTGGCTGAAGGAGCAAAACATAAACTATGTGAGGTTCTTTAAGACCGAGAAACCTTGCAGCTAAGTTCTGCAGTTGCAGAGAAATAAGCTTGATCTCCCAACAGTAGAGGTGAATGTCCTTTAAAAAGTATTTTATTTAGGTTTTTTGGTATTCACAGTTATGAGTATGGATGTTGTATTAACCATAACTACTTATTCCTGTCAAACTCTTTTCCATTTTGGAAAAAAAAAAAAAAAAAGAAAAAAAAGAAAAAGAGCCCTGTGGATTAATTCTGTGGGGAAAAAAAATTTAGTTATTTCTAACAAAGAAACAGGAGTCTGTGGCTAAACCAGACTTCCAGGAGACAATTAGTTATTTCTAACAAAGAAACAGGGGTCTGTGGCTAAACCAGACTTCCAGGAGACAAGTGTGACTGGGAAAAAAGCAAAAGGGTTAGGATACAATAAGAAGCAAAAGTGGTGCTAATTAGAATTTTAGCTTGAAAACAAAAATGGAAAGACAAAAATAATTTTTTTTTTTTAATTACCATTATTCCAAGAATAGGTGCATATAGAAGTATTGTTCACGTTATCTAATTCTGACATTCTTCTGCTGCTGAATTGAGTAAACAGCTACAGAATCAGAGAGGAACAGAGAGGACTGCACAACAGCCAGGGTTTTTACTTTTTGCTCCAGCCCTTCTATTTTTGACTTATTGCATTCTTTAAATTATATCTATGCAGGAAATTATTCCAGAATAACCATTCTCAGTGAACTATTTCAGATTTACTTTCTATCTGAATGCTCTTTGCCAAAATCTGCTTTGGCCATGGATACATGAAGAGGGTATTTCAGGAAAATCTCAGTGGTCTCAAGAAACACAGATGTAGCTGTGTGACAGAGCCCCTTGAACAAAGAGAGATTTGTCTTATGTGAGAAATATCATCCTGGTTCAAGTGCAGTTTGTGTGCACTTGCCCATGTGTAATTATCTCAAGTTTTTGACTTCTAAGATCTCCCTTTTGGGGCAATTCAGGCTGCAAATGAACCTCTAGCCCTGAAGTGTTTTTGTAATATGTTAAATTAATGTAGCATAAAGGTGTTTGATAAGAGCAGACTAATCAGAAATAGTCGTTGCACTTTAAATATCTCACTTAATCTGAATAAATTTTTCTCAGAGGATAAACCCCATAAATAAAAGGAACAGTTTTCTTATTGCTTTTGTATTTCTTCAATGTCCATTGTAGGTATTCTCGCAGTTGTCTGTGGGGTCCTAGTATTGCTTTTACCGGAGACAAAGGGAATCCCCTTACCAGAGACAGTGGAGGATGTGGAGAAGCTTTCAAGGTATGATATTATTTTCTTACATTTACCTGCATGGGGTTTCCTGAGGGTGTTCTCCTCCAAATTTGTCAGATGTCATAAATTATTGATGTTTTCCAAGTGTAAAAGTAAATTCCCTGGTCACATTGATGTTATGAGCAGGTGGTATTTTCCTCAATAGAAATGTGAACTTTCTCAATACCAATGGGCTGTTAAAAAAAAAAGCATGGGGATAGAATCTGTATTTTTTTCACAGAAACACAAAGTTTTCTTGTGCACCTCTAGAAGCAGAAAGTAATAGTGTGCAAGAAAGAGACCACAAAGTATAGCCTGCAATTCTGTGCTCAAGAAAACACATGGAAAACCAGACTCTTCACTACACTGCACTGTCTAAAGGAACATTTACACCTTGGCTTGCTTGTCAGTAAACTTCTTGAGGAGCTAGTGCTATACATTAATGCTTCAAACAGTGGCTTTGGATATTACACCAACAATTTTCCCAGCTTCAATGTACAAACTAAAGAAAGAGGAGGTTTTCTAAGCAGAAAGTAAATGTTTCAGTACTGCAGCTTGGACTAAACTTGGACTACATCATTTCCTGTTTCTTTCCCCCTTATAACCTTCTCCCGTTCTGTTTCTTCAGTCATTTTGGTAAATGCGGCAAGAAACGGAAACCGCAGGACACCAACTCTTGTATTTGACCTTTGAAGGATGGCACCGAGCAAAGAACTATTTCCCATACTGGGAATTTGTTCTTCACCTGCCACTACTTCAAAACTTGCTTCAGGGCATGGATTAAACTTCATGTTCTTCTTCTAAGCACAAGGACGCTTAAAACAAGAAGTGTATCTTTCTATATATATGGAATAAATTCATTTTTTCTGAGTATGCTGTTTGCAGGAAAGGAGCACTCTGTGGTTCTTGGTAGAGAAGAGAACAGCTTAAAGAAGATGCACTGTCCAGCTCAGTGAGCTTTTATTTATTTCTGTATATATTTGAACTATTTGTTTAATTCTGTTGTTAGCATATGCTTTTGGGTGTGGAGGGTTGGAAATGGTACTGCTTGTTTAAGATTCGGATGACTCTGGGGAAGAGACAATGAGTATTTCAACCTGCTCTCCTGTGCCTCTGGAGAATCTGGACAAACAGAAGATCTGATGGCTCAGGAACGAGGATGCTGATCAGCGCGGTCCTTTCTCTGGTCAGGAGGGATAGGAATCAGAGGCATGCATCAGGAGACTCTGGCGCTGGTCTGCTCCTCTCCCCCAGCGAGCCTCTGCCACAAAAGCCCTACTTCTCTCTTTGTTCAAGGGCTTTCTGATATGCAGCAGCAGTCCTCCTCCTCTCCTTCCCCGAGCTTTATGTAAGCATCCCATCCTACACAGGGCATTAGCTCTGCAGGTCAGATTGTCATGCTGCCCACTGGTGCCCCCCCCCAGACCCAGATGGGGCTCTTGTGCCACCCCATTGTCCTGTCCCCTGGCCAGGTACCTCTGTATCTCCCAAGGGAAGGGTTTCTCTCTGCTCCCCCCTGTTGGGTGCTTTGCCATCCCTCTCTTTCAAGAGCTGTTCTTTTCCCTTCTAGAATATGCTCTCTGCCCATCCCTACAAAAAAAATTGCCTCTCCTTGACCGCTGACAAAGTGACCCCCTATTTCTGTCTATTATTTGTCATGCTTCTGACTTGGGGATAAATTATTTGGGTTGTTGACAGGGATGTTAAGCTGTCTTGAGAAGATGAGCAGGGACGAGACAAGCTCTTTCATTATGGAAGGAAGTGTGTTGTGGTTTTAAACCCCACTAGCAGCAACCACCACACAACCACTGGCTCACTCTTCCCCCCTCCAGGGAACGGGGGAGAGAACTAAAGAGGTAAAGGGAAAAGAGACTTGTGGGTTAAGACCAATTTAACAACTAAACTACAATAATGTTGAAAATAATAATGATGATAATAATGATAACAGTAATATATACAAATATATAATGAGTGATACACAGTAAACTGCTCTCCACCCCATGACCAAGGCTCAGCCCATTCCTGGTTAACAATCCTGGAGCAAGGAGGGTCCTGAAGCTGCAATCCCAGTAAAGAGATAAGAGCCCAAGCATCTGAGAGACTGAGAGCTGACCGAGAGAGAAAGATGACCTGGAGAGAGAGAGGACTTCTGGACAGAGCCTCATCTGTACACTGGGCACGATGTGCATTACATGGAATATACCACTGACCAATTTGGGTCTCAGTCCTAAACCTGAGGTCAAATCCCAGGCTAGCATTTGGGGCTGCGCTCCCTCCCAGCTTCTTCTGCCCCTGCAGACACTGGCACAGCAGAGAAGATGAAAAGTCCTTGACTGTCCTGGCAGCAACTCTAAACATCAGTGTGTGATCAGCTTCTCCTCAGCACAAATCCAAACACAGCCTCTCACTAGCTACTGTGAAGAAATTAACTCTGACCCAGCCCTGGGGCTGGCTGGTGGAGCCCAGCCCTGAACTGGAAGCTGTGGGCTTGCACTGGCTGGGCGCTGTGTCTCAGCGCAGGGTGGAAGCGCAGGCACCCCGCTGCAGAGCTCAGCCTTGCTTTCCTCTCACCCAGCCAGCCCATCCCGCAGGCACAGCCCTCTGAGAGCCAGGGTGAGGCAGTCAGATGCGATACTGTATGAACTGAGCCTCCCTCTTCCTTTTAATGTTTATTCTTTGTGAATTTTTTAAAACAGTTTCTTAAACACTACAGCAAGCTGAGAAGGACTGTGGAGATTGTTCAAAGCTACAGCTTGCCAAAGAAATGTCAATATTATTTGCCAGCTGGTGCTGTTTGTGGACAACTAAAATGTGCTGAGAAGTGAGAGGCACAAAGACTTGTTTTTGTCCTTTCAGACTGTTCTTTGTTTTGTGTAGCATATGTTGCTCAGAAGAGAATATAAGTGAAATATTTCAGTACATAAAATGGCTAGCAGCAGTGTCAGAAATATGGATGTATTTATTTTTCTAAAAATTCGTTATGTAAAGGACAGCAGGAAAAAGCCTGTGTATGTGTTCTAATTTCTAAAACAATAGTACTTAGGAACTTCAGGTAGCATTTGCATTTGTTAATGGTGCCTGTGCTAACTCTTACCCCTAACAGGAGGATTTTGTAGGACAGTCTCTGTGAGACTTTGGGATGCCTCATGAAGGCTGCAGAGTGGCCAGTAACCTGCTGTACGAGCAGCGGTTTGGTGACCGTGTGGTTCCACTGCTGTGGGTTGGAGAGGACAGATGAGGTGATGGAAGCAGAGGGAGAGCTTCAGGGAGGGAGGACCCCGTGGGAAACCAGCCGGGGCCCTGCAGGCCGCTGGACGGATTGCTTGTTTAAAAAGAGTTATTATAAATTCATATGTGCCTCAAACCACTTAATACACTGAGCCTTATGGGCAAGTCCTACTAACTTCTCAGGCAGCAGAGCAGTGTTATGAACTGCGTGGGTTGACACTAAAAGGGCGGTCGTGATGCACCTCAGTGAGAGGCAGCTCTTCAGGAGGGGCCAAACCCTGTCAGCGTTGGTTGTCTTGCACGTGTTATACTTCAGAGGTTCAGTGAGAGCTGTGGTGTGCATGGCAGCAAAGGATCAGCTTACTGCCACCAAAGACACTCGTTCAACATGACCACAGAAACCCAGGAGCTGTGTTCTTCCTGCCTGCAAAGAGAATCCCCAGCCCAACAAACGGGTGAATGTGCTATTTGGTCCAAATGTGCTGCTGCCACCATTCTTACCTTGTTACTTCATCTAGTCTGTGGGAGTGGTTAGTGATAAGTGGCACTTTTTGTTGCCATTGACACTCTTACAGAAGGGAAAGGCCACAACTTACACACCTTAAGAGGTTATGAGGTGGGATTTCTGTGGCCACTCAGGCGTGCCTAGGTGTTTCTGTTGGGTTTGGCAAGGACAGCAGGGGTGGGTTTGGCTGCCTACAAGCCAGGTATTAACCGTGCCTGCAAGGGCTCACATTTGAAGAGCTTTACAAATCAAAGACCAAGCTGCAACACAGAATTTCTGTTGTTAGGGAAGTACTGTGCAGATTTCTTGGCTGACTTAATGATCCAAAGTAATAGATACGGAAAATGTGCAGAAAGGTATTTGTGCCCAATGAATCTCCCCAACCAGACAGATGGGTGGGGAATGCTTTATCAGAGCTGTTCCTGCTCAGGAAGGCAATGCCCTGAGATCATTGCATCTCCCAGAATCAGACTCCAGGTGTAGAAGCCTTAAAAATCACCCTGCCACCTAACTCTGTTTTATAGCTTTCATCTCCCTTAAAGTCTATGAGAGGGAAAAAAAAAAAATAATCCTAGAATGCAACCCATCCCTTGTGTATGGTACATGCATACAAAAAACTAAACCAGTTTAAATTAAATGATGTGCAGCTTGGCATGCCTGCGAGCGGACCTCTGCACTGCAGAAAGTGGGATGGACACACCCCAGCCCAGGAAATAGCTGCGTTACTTGGAGTACACTCAGCACACCCTGGGGATGCAGGAAGGACACCATGCAGAGGCAGGGGTCCCCTGGTGCCTGTGGAGTGCTCCCTGGCTGATATGCATGGGGTGCAGGATGGGAATGGGGGTTTACAGTGAGCAAGTGTGTCACTTTGGCAAGTGTGAGCCAAGCTTTCCCTGGAAAGCATCTCTCACGGTCTAAGCTTTCACTTCCTATAACCACAGGCATGTGTACATCCTTTCTTTTAGAGAAGAAAAATGTACATGTAATGGTTATGTAGTGAGATACACAGTGAAACAAGTGGGTACTATGGACAACAGAATTTTATAATACATTAAATGCATTGTCATTACTTGCTGTAATGATTGGCAGTTATTTGTCTTCAGGCTGGACTAACATTAGGGTGAGACTATTTTTTATTCACTGTTTTATATCTTTGATGCAATATTTGTGCTTTTCCTGACACACAGATTTCCATGTCAATAAAAAAAATTAAAATAAAATACAAACCAAAAGTGTTTGCTGCTTTTTTTTTTTTTTTTCCATCTCATGGATTTAATGCCATTGGATATATCTAATAAAACTTCACATGCTTATAAGACATGTACAGTGAGATTCTTCTTTGGTTTGTATCATTAAATTGGTAAGATGCTCAGAGAACTCATTGAAAATGAGAAGCATTCTCCCTTGGAGAGTGTGTTGGAAGCACAACATCTTCAACCTCTGAAGAAAAAGTCATTGTAGAGCCTAATATAGATTGAAATGCAGATGTCCAGTTACAGGTGAGGTTGGGATTTTTGAGACATATTTCAGAGGTGGGTAAGTGTAACATAGCAAACCATAAAACATACAGAAAGAGGGTAACACACCGTCAGTTGGGTTTCTTGCAATAACTGTTAATTTATAGGAATTTAAAATGGATGATCATATTTATTTTACTTCCTTATGAATGATCGTAGCTTCAATATTGCACTTGGAATCCTGTATTTCTATTGTGCATACAATCCTGCTTTCCAGGAGAGGGCAGTCCATACCCAGGATCAGTTGTTTTCCATTATACTCTTAATCCAAGGAATATAATTGGAAACTCGAACGTACACACCAGGTTTCATGGGTTGGGCACAGCCAAGGCCCCAAGATGTGACTCCATGTTGGACAAATTTATCTTGGTCCAGACAAACTAGAGGTCCTCCACTGTCCCCCTAAACAGAGAAAAACCAGGATTATTCCCTC